CTTTCAAGTTTCAATAGTTAAATAATAGTTTTTAAAATACGTAGGTACAATAAAATAATAAAAATTGTTTGAAACTGTTTTTAAATTACTGTTTATCACATCAATTGATTTTTATAGATCAACAGACCACAAGACAGGAATCTCGAATATGTCTAGTGTAGTATGTGTATATTATTAGCATAATACAATAGTAAAATAATAATAATATAATACAATAGTAGTAGAACTTAGACCATAAAGTAAAGACTAATAGCAAAAAACATTACACTATAAAATACTTTTTTTGATCGATTTAATACTTGTAGGTGTAATAACCATAAGCGCCTATAAGTTACACTTCAAAGAGTTCAAAGAGAGGAGGGGTTAAAATAAAAAAATCTCAAATTTAAGCTAAATAAAAATGTGGTATTATTTAAACATTTAATTATAAAACACATACTATTATTTTGCTATTATTTGTAAGGTTAACATTTTTATTGGTATATTATACAATTTCTAATTATTTAAAATAGATTTTAATAAGTTCAGGAAAAAATAGTAGAATATAAAATATAATCAAATTTATTTTAATAAGAACTGCAAATTTCTTCATTTAATTTAATCATTACTCATAAGTCATCAGCTGATAATACAATGGTAATATTTTTTAATTATAAATCAATAAATGTTATTTTTCTAAATGGTAGCTAGTTTTCCCCTCCCCCATAGGCGTCCATAGAAACAATCCATTCTATGGACTTATTCAATCATAATAAATTTCACTAAATATTTATCATATAATAATTAATTTGATTTATTGTTCAACTTCTATTCTGCGACTTATGTGGTTTTAATACTGCCCACAAAAACAATGTTATACTCAAGTGAAATCATGTACAATATTGTTCTGTGATATTATATTATTTTGGGCCATAAATAATTTTTTTCAAATGTTATACTTACGCACTATGGTATGCTTGGACGCAGGTAATATATTTCTAGGATCTGTAAAATATAATTTTCTAAGAAAACTACATCCGTACTAATCCAACAACTGATTCCTAGATCGATTAAAGTATACGTCATATATGTAGTATAGACATTAGTCATCTAACTACTCCTGAAATGGATATTATTAAATATAAATATTGACGAATGGTTTTAATAAACAAAAGTGATGAGTTGCAATTTAAATTTAAAAAATATTAATCACAAACCTTGTAACCTCTTCTATTTTTAATTTCCCTTACATTTTAAAAATTCAAAATATAGACTAATTTTAAGCATTTAAAATTTTTAAAATTTATTAGTTTTATTTTTTATTAATTTTTAATATATTATACCTTATTTTAGGTTGGGCTCTTAAACAATCTAAACAGTACATTTCAAATAATGCTTCCATCAGTTCCATCAGATTATAAAATATGATCAGCTTACTTCTGTCTTTATGTCTTAAGATACTATTTAATGTTAGGTTCTATTGTATAGTTTTTTTAATTCGTATTTTTTCTTCTTTAGTATTCTCCGTTTTTATAATATAAGATAATATATGATAATATATATCATTTTTTTTTTTGTAATCGTATTTTTCTTAAGCATTTACTAAACAACCAATTATAATACTTTATTATAGAAACTTCGTCGATAATTTTTTTTTTTTTAATCATAATTTTTAACACATTTGCCATAATAAATGATTAATTTATTCCATGCTGTGGAAAAATATTATATTGTATGCTACGTTAGGTTATATTTTATGTATAATACATATAAAGACTTAATATTATAGGTACACTTATTTTATATATTATGCACTTTCCGCAAAACTTTTCTTCAGATGTAAGTAATTTTTCTTCATTTCCATAGGTGATGGATCAACTTTTGCATCATATGTACATTGCTACAGGGTATAAATTAAAAGTGTTGAGTTTTTGATAACATCTTAAAGCTAAATATTTTTGGCATGGAAAATTTGTTACACACTTACACCTATTATTCCTACTTATACGAATCTTATTATACAAATTATTCGTTGATTAATATCAAATGTAAGTTAATATTCACAGGTTTTTAAAATTTATATTTGCTCAAAGGAATATGTTCTAACTTAAGGTCTGATTTGATTTTTTATAACACGTCTGGTAATGATTTTGATTTTTTATAACACGTCTGGTAATGATTCCTAGGAATACCTATTGAATTATTTTTATTTAAACTTACATTTTTACTGGAATAGATTAGACATTTTATAGTTCTCATTATTTCATTTTAGTTTTTCTTAATATTATAATATCATCTATATGTAAGCCACTAAGCCGTCATGATTGTTTTCCCATTCTGTTTCATTTTATAATCTATTTCAGCATACCTCCAATTATTTTTTCTAATGCATCCCTTTGTTTTAATCTGGACTTCACTTCAAACTATAGTGAGATAACTTTTATCAGGTATGAACATTGCGAGTCACAAATTTAAATTACTGTTAACAGTGTTAACTATTGTTTTTCAGGTAGTCTAAAGTTTCTGAAAGCTGTATGTATATATACATGGGCATAGGTAGGAAATATTTTCGGAGGGGGTTTTGGTCTAAGTCTATATTAATATTATAAAACATTTAAATTAAATATGAATTATTTATTCAGTTTTACCTTTAATTTCTGGGGGTGTTTGAATACCCAACCCCTCCCCTTATCTACGCCCATGTATATATATATATTCCATAGGCCAAATAGAAAATTAGTTTTTGTAAAAATATTAGGCTCTTTGTAATGAAATAGCCCGTTTTAGAACTAGTTAAGTAGATACTTATTATTTTTCCAAACAGCCGGCTGTTTTTCAAGCTTATTGGAAATAGACTATGCATGGTAATCAGCAGTTAGGCCTTGTAATAACTTCAATTATTATAAAGCAATTTTATTATAATTTGTTACTTGTACCTACCTACAAAAAAAATAACAAAATTTTATAATATGTAAACTCTTTAAACACCTATCATATTTATTGAGTAAATTTACAAAATACTACTTTTCTATATAAACTATACGACATATAATAAAATTTGCTGTCCATTAAAATTATCGAAAGCTTGTTAAAAATCTATAATTAGTTACCATATATCAACCCCTATTTTTCATAAAAAATCGTAATATATCTACATTTTTTCATATACAAATATACAATATACGATACAGAGACGTGAAATAACCCCCCCCCACACTCACTTCAAACTACACCACTCCCATGTCATTATAATCTATTGTAAAATATCAACAATTTGTTTAGTAAGTAATATTTCTTATTTGTGATTCATTTTCATATTATAGCTTGGTGACAACCAATCTATTTTTATTTTAAAAACTAAGGAAATATACTTATGAAATATAATCTGAAAACAATAGAAACTATTAATAAATACTTTATTCATAATATGTAGGGCAATATATTGCTTAAAATTATTTAATTATTTGATTTCTTGTAAACAGTCTTGCTCGACTTGGTTCCAGAAAAACACTTTTATACAATCACATAAAAAAAAAGACAATCTTATTCATTATTACACACTTCTCAAATTCGTAGTGAGCACTTCCAATTTCAGTCTACACAATTTTCGTAAGGATTCACTAAAAAATAGAGACTGTCATATAATTTCAAATCCTGTTCATGCTTGTTAGATATATCCATAATTTTAAAAATGGCAAAATTACAATATATATTATAGGTCTATTATCCTAATCCAAGTTTTCTTTTTTTTTGTCATCTCATCGTACTGTTTAAGAGGTTTCTTATAAAATATCTATAAAATACATTCTCTTGTATAATTCCTGTAATATCTACACTTTTCAATCTGTATCATCTTGATTAGGTACCTACATCTTCACGATTACACAGTTTATGTCAAACACTCAAACCAGTATGATTTATAGATTTTCGGCATTCAAAATTTCACATCTTCTGTCACTGACTCTTTATTTTAGTTCAGACTTATTAATGATACATATACTGTCTTAAATATCATTTTTAAAACAATGCTATTTATCTTGCAAATATTACAAAAAAAATTTTCACTAGCGCAAAAATGATTCAAAGATAATATGTATCTAAATTCAAGAAATCTGATGTTATACATTGTTATAATTATGTCATAGATTTGTGATCATAAATCAATAAATGATCAGGGTAACTTTCTTAATGTTATGAACAATTATTAACAGAGTATAATACTTAGCCCAAGAATATAGAAAAGGAAGAATGACTAACCTTTGAATCCAAACCTTAAACGTTTTATTTATGCAACAATACAGAAATAAACAATAAAGGATAATTATTAATAGTGAATACACTATTAAGATTTTAAATTTTAAGCATAATATTAAATATATATATAAATATAAGTATATATTCATTTAATTCAATTCAATTTTTAAATATAATTTGACAATGTCAAGAGTTAACTCTAGCACAAATATTATACTGATGTAAGTACCTATTAAATTGCCTTAATTATTAGTCATTATATAATAAATTTAAATTTAAATTTTAAATATTAATTGACAGTTATAGATAAGAACTTTTAACAGGTGATTTGATATATAATCAAAATAAAATTGATAATATATTACAACACCAATATCAACAAATGAATTAAGGAAAATTTAATGATTAATTGTAATTTGTAAAAATATCTTGTAAAAGTCAATAAGTAATAATATTACTCATAGAGTAAACACATATTACCTGCATATTGTTTGAAAAATATATTTCAACTGGAAAACATATTTAAATTGTATTTAATTTATTATAAATATATATGTATAAAAATATTTTTTTATCAGTTATTTTTAGCTTAATTATCTTATAATCTTGGTGTTCTGCAACATGAACAGTTCAGATTTTAAAACAATAATTAAAAAATACTTAGAAAACTAATAGAAGTATTAACAATACATTTAACTTATCAAATAGATTAAAAAATCAGATTGACGAAATATAAAATGTATACACAAAAAACAAGTATACAAATTTTAGGCAAAGATTAATTGATCAGTTTTAATTATATTAATTAATTGAATTTAGTTTGGCGCGAGATTTTTTTTCATCGCTTGAATCACTAGTATCAAACCCAGAGTCTTCAAAATATGCTTTAGAGCATACCGATTGAGCACGTCTAGATATTACACAGTCTATAAGTTTTCCAAAAAAGTCTGGAAATCCATCATAACCTATAAAAAAAATATCATTAATTATAATTAAAATTAAAATTTTAATAAGCACGAATATTCACCAGGATAGGCATTAATATCAATAATTGCATGCCGATTGGTATCATTTTCAACAACAACATCAACACCATATAGAGACATGTTTAGATAACTGCCAAGAGTTTTGACAATAGAATGCAATTTGATTGGATCTATGGAAGATCCTTTGGCACTTTCAGAAGGGTCAAGTACACTAAGTTCGCTACTTGAATCTGATTTAGACACAGAATGACTATCAAAAGTAATTGTATCTCGGTCATCTATAAATTAATAAATAATTTAAGTCAAAATAAGAAACCGATTTCAAACAAATACTCTTACCATTTGAAGCATAAAAATTTTTCAATGATGGTCTCTCAACCATTTGATAATGATCTCCAACCACATACAGTTTGTACAAAATTGCATTGTGATTAATGAATGATTGAGCGACACATGGAGGCTTACAATCAGCTACACCACGTTCATTAAAAATTACAGACATCTAAAAAATAAATTACACACCTCTATAATATAATTATAATTGTGTCCAAGTACAACTATTCCAATGTTCTATTTTATAGTTTACCTGATGACAGTAAGTTGTTCCTTGAGCTACAAACGGCTTACAAACTAAAATAAATCAATGTTTTAGTCTAAATTTTTCAGACAATAATAACTAATAAGCTTACTAAATGGAAATGTGACTCCAGCATTTTTTAGTTTTTTGATATTCTCTTTTACATTGTTTGACAGAATTTCCACAAATGTAGGTGTAAAAACATCTAATAAATATAATTAAAATTTAATAAAAAAAAGTTTACAACGTACAAAAAAAATATACATATTTATATTAAGTTTTAAAACTGTTTAATCTAAAATAAAATGTTGAACAAAAATTAGGCCTTGACTGGGAAACATTAGGTATTAATTATGATGATTATTGATGTCACTAAGTCATGTTTTTAATTATTTTGATAAATGTAATGATATACTTAGTTGATACAGATAACATTTCAGTGATTAATTCAATTAATTAAATACTTTATTGTAAAGTATTTAAACTGTAATAATACTAAATATTTTTGTAATGAAAAAGTGATATATATGAAAACTTAAACAATTAAACAGAAAATAATAACTTAAATTAATTAAGATTTTTGAAAAAAAAAATGTTCAGCAAAAAAAAACTACAGATAATTGCCATGTATTTGTCAAAATAAAAGATTTGCAACTGAACATAAAAGCATAATGGCAATTAGCCAAATAGTTTTGGCAAAACCTTAAATCACCACTAATAAATCTGCATATGGGACATTGGCTTAAAATATAATAACAGTAAATTGACAATTGTATAAATGCCAACATGAAATAAAAATAAAAATGAATTTTATCATCAGTGTTCATTTGGACAATCCTTTATTTCAGATTTCATGCTTTGATTTTCATGCAACATGCAATAGACGGCACCTAACTTCCTATTTCATATAAGTGTTAACTTAAATAAAAATAAATAAATTAGTATTTTGTTTTTGTAATATATTTTACTAAATCAAACAAAGAACTAAAAAGTCAAAGGACATTAAATCACCATTTTTCTAATGCAATCAGCATTTACAGCACAGTGTCAACTATGTCCTATACAAACATATGCTCAAGTGGCAAATGTAATTGTAATGGGAAATAATGAATGTGAAGAACACTTCAGTATAAAGCTATTTCCCAAGCAAAACAAAATAATAAGTAGCATGAAACCTTCCACAAATATATATTAATATAACTATACTTTTAAATTATATTAAGTACCACTTTAGCAGTGTAAAGTGCCATACTTAAATATACCATGAGACAAACCTCTTAAAATGTCATTATTACTTATACTCTTTATATTTTTTTTTTTACAACACCATATAAGCCCCAGGTCAAGGTCCTATTTAGTGTGAGAGAACCAAAATAATTTAGACAACTTAAAATACCTAGTTACAATAATAATTGTATATTGGTGTACCAATATTGTTCAAGGTGGTGTTCAACACGACATTATATGTTTTGTAGCGATCAAGCAGGGTACGGACACTATCTAATGGATCAATGATTAATACTTTTGGATGATCCTTAATATACTGTTCAATTCTACCTATGATTTGAATTGCCTAAAAATGAAATAAAATTATTTATAAAATATGAGAAATATAACAAAAATATAGACATACCTTTTCATCATTTCTGGCAATTATTTCAGTAAGTTTATGTAAAATTACTGCAAATGGTCCTTGTTCTTCTAACGATTTTTCAAGATCCAACTTTGAAACAATATAATATACTCTATTATTAAAATTTTTAATATTTTTAATGTTTAAAATGATTATGTTAAAAAATTTGAAAATTAAATAAATTATAAAATATGTTATTATTATTATTATTAAAATTAAATAGTCCTCCATTCAGGAGGAAGCAAAAATTTACTTTTTTGCTCCAGGCATAACATACATTAGGATAGTATAAATCACAATTATTTAAAATCTAAATGATTCATATAAGATTTAACTATAAGTTAGTTTAGTTAAGTTTTAACATCAATAAATAAATAAAATCATTAAAATAAGTTTACTCATTATACACCTAAGTCACGTACATTTCTGTATAAATAACCTAACCCCCTTACTAACAATAAAATACTCATTTCTTTAGAAAAAACATAAGTTAAAATAATGATAAAATGTCTTACTTTCACTAATTCATATCCATGCTGTCTGCAAAAAAAAAATAAATATATTTTCTATTAATTGTCTGCATCATTATATTTTTAGATATTAATTATTAAGTAATAAAATACCTAAAATAGTAACATATTAAATAAAATATATTGTTATAATAATTAAACTAGGAAATTAATTGCATACATGAAAATGTTAATCTGTTCAATAAAAAGAGATTTTAAGTATAGGACATATTTTAATTATAACAAATTAAAATAATATAAAGTTTTGACTTTATTTTAAATAAAATATTTATAGTTACACAAAAATATTTAAAATAAATAATTACTTCTAGTAAAATATTTTTTTTTTTTTTTTTATGAACAGATAGATAATTTAATATTAAAATATTCAATTATATGTATATGTAAAATAATTTTCATGCTAAAAATGTAAAAAAAAAAATTATTTATTATCTTATATTCTTATAACTAAAATACATTTTATTGCTTAAAAAAATTATATAAATATGATACGAAATATTTCAATCTAATTAATTAACTAATTGTCTTATATTTATTTTTTAATCAAACATTTATAATCAACTACATAAACAAATTATAAATAATAATTTATTCTTATTTGAAACATAAAAGGCCATAAGTCAGAAACAAATATACTTGTTTAAAACCTTTAAATAAATTATTTTTGTTTAGGTATTTAAATAATTGTATTTTTATTACTTATAATGTCCATTACAATATTAATTTTCAAATTTTAACTATTAAAATCTATATTTGATTTTTTTATCATTGAATATTAATTAATCAGTAAGTACTTAAATATGTTTATGTTTATTTATACATCAGTCACTATATATTATGTATTTCACTGCTGTTTTTATTAAAGCATTGATAAATCAAGCAACACTTAATTAAAAAATATTGAAATACTCATAATACAATTTTTTAATTTATCTACTTATGAAAAATATCTGGAAATATTTTAATATTATTATAAAAACGTATTTGAACAATTTTTATTTACAGTATGAGTTGGATATAAAATTAAAAAAATATTCTATTTTTACAAATTCCTAAGTTTACTATTTCACAAAAAGATCAGTAAACCGTTTTAATTTATTTTTATTAAACTTACATCAATTTATTTATAAGCTGTTAACACAAAGCGTTTTACAGTTGTTTATTGTTTTTTTAATCACTTTTTTTTATATATATAATATAATTCTTATAATTCCACGGAAAACTAGATTATTAAGACTTAAGTATTTTTATAGAAGAGCTTAAATATTATCTATTTTACAATGTAACTGATATGTTATTCTCCATGATATGAATAAATAATATTGTCACAAATAATATAATATTTTGTAAAATTTTTATGAAATTAATTGTTAATAATATAGTAAATTTAATAACTATAAACAAAGTTAATTTAAGACTATGTAGACACTAGACATCATAGATCTATAAACTAAATATTATCTCTAACAGTGATGCCGAATCTTAATTTTATATCAAGCCATGAGCCTGATCATTTTTTTAATAAATGACTTACAGACCAATCTATAATTTATATCAGAATATACTTAATAGCCAACAAAAAATAAAAACTGTATTAATATTTTTACTAATAAAATAGCTTGGACAATATTTACACATTTTCACAAATTACATAAATTAAATTAGATATAATAAACAATAATGCATTATGTTATCAATGTATCAATTGGAAATTAAACTAAGAGGTAAAATATTAAAATTATTTTTGTTACACAAAGTAAAATGAAGATTTGTGGCTACATTAGTGGCTAGGGATCATTATATTTTAGTTTGGCCTGAATTCACTTTTAGAAGTTTGGCATAACTGGTATATTGTCCATAGTATATAGAATATTATTTGAGACTATAAGTACATTAAAAGTGAGATAAACAATTTATAAAAATATAAGATAAACAAATTATATTAACTAATAAAATTTAAATAGCTCTATTACTAACTAATCTATTATACCTAATGAAATTGATAAAAATAAATTTAGTTCTATATTTTTTTCAGTGAGAGAACATACCAAGATCCAATGAAAATTATTTCTTCTACTCATCCTCCATGTGACATCCTGCCATAGGGAAAATAGTCTCAATAGCATAGGAATGTATAGAATTGGAATGTTTTACGTTGGAAAATGTATAGAATTGTTTAAAATATTCCACATATAAATTTCAAAGCATTTAATGTCTTAATTGTGAAACATAAGAGGTAAAATATACTTCTATATTTAAAGAAAAAATATTTTTCAAGTCATAGATAAAAATTATTTGATTTTTTTCTACATAAACGTCTAACGAATACTTATATAAGTATTAAATAATTTTAAATATCAAGGATGAACATGAAAAAGATGTAAATGTAATAAAAACTAAAGAATATGGTTATTAATCGTAATAAAATGATTTCTACTTATTTAAGTTATTTTATTTTAGATTATATATTTATGTAGTTATATATTTATATAACTTGATAATATGAAACATAATAATATAGGTAATAAAATTATAACTAATTATTATTTTTTGAGACTTGTGTATGTAATAAATGCGTTTGATGGTAAGTAATTAAAAAAATCTTACTACTTCAGACCTAAGAGAATATTTGTTAAATACTAACTTTATCTGTGACTATCCTGCTGATAATGTCTGCACACGATTATAAATATATTATTTTTAAGTAAAAATTAAATACAATTAAGATTATTGAAACTACTATTTATTTTAAACTATTTCTGAAAATAAGTATAAATAATAACAAATGATTATAATACACTGAAAAGAATAATATTTTGATTAATTGTGGATATAAGTAATTCTATTTATGATCCTTCTAATTTATTTTTATTAATTAGTAAGCACGAGTACAATTAGTTTGCTTCTTATTAAGTATATTATATTAGCCCAAAAATAATTTTGAATTTAGTTTATCAACTAACAATTATTTAAGTAAAAGTTGAATACAGTCTTGTAAGATAATAAAAAAAAATGTGTACCTAAATTAAAAAGTAATAATGACTGTACTCTGATTTTCGAGCACAGAAACATTTTTTCAATGTGGGTCTGATATAAAGCTACATACAAAAATGTACTAAGTAAACACTTAAAAACTACTCATCTAACCTGCACACTTTTCCAAACTCGATCCAATTGAGTTTCTGGCTCTTTCTGTCGGACATCCAGTATCCGATGACCATCGACGACGGATCCTTGTCGTTTTCGTTCATCACGAATATTATACAAGACGATGTCTAGATTGACACTCTGATATCGTCTTCCTCAATCAACAACACACTGCAAGTCGCGTGCGCTCGATTCACATGTCCACACACAAATGTGGCAGTGATACACACTCATTCGTCATCTCGGGCCGAATACGAATTATTATTATTTTCAATTATTTTACCAGAAAAATACGTGTTGAGAAACAACTGCATTAAGATTCGAAGGCCGTTTACCGCCCATCACCGTGTGTCATATGCGGTATGCGTTGTTATTCGTTACCTAATGCTTGCTTATTTACCGTTCGCACAGTATAGTATATAGTTATGGTTTCACTTTTTTTTTTCTCAATCTTATCACGATTCTACTATACATAAAATACGATAATATATTATATATATACATATGTGATGATGTATGATACCATAATAAGATTATGTATGCAAATTTCAAGTAAATATCTTACATAATAACAAAATAATAATATGAAAAACTAGATAATACGTATGAAAATAAATGTAATATCTTGATGATACTCCGGTAGTACGGTGTGATAACGACTAAATGATTCACAACGAATCGTGTAATCGCAGATCGTATTATAATGACAGTGTGTGTGTGTGTGTGTGTATATGTGTGTGTGTGTGTGTGTGTGTGTGTGTGTGTGTGTGTGTGTGTGT